TGGCCCTACTAGTGGGGATTATACACTAGTATTCCTGTTTGCCTGCCAGTGGGAACTGGCCATTCCTGTTTGCCTGCCAGTGGGAACTGGCCATGACCTATAGAGGAGACGTCTATTTCGTGCCCGTACTGTATCCGTTTTTTCGTGATTGCACATGTTGGCATGCTATAAGTTTAATTAAGGGCAATCCATATTTTACTTACTGAGTTATCTCACCTCGTTTTTCTCGTCCACCATTTCAGGTAGTGTGCCCCGAGACTCGAAAATCAAGGGGAGTGACGTGATAAAAGGCTAGCCCCTTGAGATTTGACATAGATTTTAGATACATGTACACCACGCTCTTGTGAGTTAGATTTTAATTGGAAATTTTATGGTATCAAAACTGATTTTGTTCAGTAAGTTCCGAGCCTTGTGCATTTGTGGGACTCGTCTCACGAGTGCACGGCGTCTGTCGCGCCTCGGATTCGGGTTCTGGGGCGTGACATTATTATTTATATAAATTATTAAATTTTTATTTAAAATTTATATTTAAAAAATTAAAAAATTAAATTAATCCTATTAAAAGTGAATTGAGAAAGTATCTTTTTAGTTTTAGATTTCCTTTAGAATGTCCAATGTTTGTTTACTGTATATATATTACCCCACTATTTTGATAATTTCATCGTTTTTATTTTATCTATATCTTTCAAAGAAATTGAAAATTAGCAAAGCTGAAAAGCAAATAAAAAATTTAACAAAAAGATATGATTATATATCTCAGGATCCATTAAGATAAATGGGGATCAATAAAAATCTTTTTTTTTTTTTTTGTCTTTTAGTACTTGCCATTACTAAGTAGATCATCTATATATGATTAAGATTTACAAAGAAACTAAACTAATTATGCTTGTGTTAAACCAAAAAAGGTGAAAAAAAGAAAAAAGAAAAAGAAAAAAACAGAGGCTAGTCAGGAGCATACGTTTCCCTTTAGCTGCTTCTGCGAAAAAAACAGAGTGAGAGCCTTTTGAGTGTTTGGGGGAGAGTCGCAGAGATTGCAGAGTTTTAACCACGCGAGGTGTGACTTTGGTCAAGGAACGGGGACCGTATACAATATAGAAATAGAAAGAATAGACAAAGAAAAGCAGAGCTCGTGAATCCAGCTGTAATCAACACCTGCTGTCGCTCATATCACTGTTTGACAAAGGATAAAGGTTAATGGTCAGATAAGATTCCCTGTTACTATCAATTAAGAGGTAAAAAATATAGTTTGAATTATATAAGTAATATAAATATAAAATGTCTGTGTGAATGTGAAAATCAACAAATCAAAGTGGTTGGCACTTGCGCCTTAATGGTGTCAACCCATAATTGCATTCTTTCACTCTTAAGTAACTGTTTGAATTTCTCTCTTTGTGAATTTGTTAAAAAAAAAAAAAATCAAAGTCGTTGGAGAAAGCAAAAGAAAGAAAAGAGGAGTCTTTGAACCAGCCCGGGCCTAATAGTTCATCATCACAATTTAGTGCTTGGACTTAATTAAGTGATTAGAAGTTTATCTCTAATTATTTACTTTAAAAAAAAATTTCTTCAAATTTCCAATGTTCATTAAAAAAAACAAAAGAAAAGAGGAGTCTTTCAACTTATCATAAATGGAATAAGCCTTATTTTGCCAAAAAAAATTGCGTGGCTGATCATTTGCACGAGTCCCTAATTTATCCAGTTATCATTTATTAGCCCGTTGTTTTGAAATTTTCGTATTATATGATTTATTTCTGTCTATAATGAAATTAAAAAATAACGGGATAAGAAACTAAATAAAATCTAATTTTTTTTTTTGTTCCTAATGAAATTTAGAAATAACTAAAAAATTGTAACAAGAAGAAATAAGAAATAACAGTATCTATGAAATTAAACTAAGCAGATTTAATTAAAAAAATAAGATAACTCATAAAAAAATAATTACAAGATAAGAGAAAATCTGAAAAATTTATTTTCTTTCTGATGAAATTAATAAATAACTAGATCGAAAATAACAAGAAATATTTGTATCTAATCAAATTAAACTAAGCAGATTTGATTCAGAACTGAAGGGAAGCAGCGGCAATATTTGAAAGATGAAAAGAAGAAAAGGCAGACATGTATATGTAAATCAAAATCAGCAGCACATATGCAAATATAAAATAAGTACCTTCTAATGCTAAAAGCAGGGGAGATGCCTTCGAAGTTCAAACAAGATAAAAAGGAAGAGTGATGAGTATGGAGGGTGCTTTGATTCTGCTTTGATTTTAGTTAAGCGAACGCTTCTCTTCAATTGATTCCAACCCAAGGGCCGATTTCAGTACCAGAAACAAGGCAAAAGGGCAGTAATTGTTAGCAGTTGTTAAAATCATATCATAATGAAAAGAAAAGCCGGATGTATAAACCAAATAAAATGAGATGCATGTTAAGGGAATATATGATTAGTACCTTTCTAGCTTTAGATTTCCTTTATAATGTTCAATGTTGGAACAAGAAAATAAGATCTATTGGCATGACAGAGGAAAATTGTCTTAAGAGTGGAATCGATCGGTGATCAGTTCGCAGGAAAGGGTTGTAAGATTGAGCTTTGGTTTTGGCAGAGAAATGAAAATGTGGAAGTTAGGTGTTCGGTCATTTATAAATTGATCCCACCACGCAGTTTCTCCAAAATACTAGATTCAAAGCGGAAGGCCAGAAATTAAGAAAGTCATTTACTTCTACTTTCCTCACTCTTTTTTTTCTTTTTTCTTTTTGTACTGATAGAGTTTTTTTAAATGGGGGAGAATTAAGATATTTTAATAATTATGAT